ATCATCTACATATCTAAGCCAAATTCGTGGTATAATGTCGTGGGTGAAGATATTGGATTCTAACAATCCCGTAGAATTGGACAAACTTCAAATTAAATCGGCAATAGCAGTTCATGCCATTTTCAACGACCACCAAATTGATTTTAAAAATATCAAAATATTTCAAAAAGGCTTTCCAATTACAAAGAAAGGAGAGTCTCTGAAGCATTCCATATAATACTTAATCCTACTTCGCTCAATAGAAAAGAAGGTTTTACCAAACATCCTACGTGGACTATCTATCCTATCTTATTTACAGTTCACACTATCATCTCACAAATTAAACTCTATCCCTTCTCACCATAACTGTTACACAATTTTTCATCCTTAAACAGTACACATATACATACACACAAATTAACATACATATCACTTATAAATCACCTTGACCGAAATGACATGACATTAACTTGTTCAGACCTGTTTTTGATTGATCAAATATTATTCTTATTGTTCCGTTGTACCATTTAAACTTGGGTTAATTTTAATTTGGTTATTTATTCTCTGAAGGAGTGACTTACACTAAGTCACGAAACGTCAGAAAATCTAATTTTCTACTCATTGGGATATTACAAATATATTATTTATTTATTTATAGCAATCCAGCCAGTGCTCAATTTATTCGAAATTATCAAACCTTAGTAATGATACCTGCATGTCATCCTGATTGTTTTCTGGTTCATTTTCTAAAGAAAATAACCTTATCTTCAAAAACTATATCTTTTCAACGCATACAATAAAACTGAAAGCAACATGATTTCAAAACATATTCAGACGGACCTAATAAAATTTAGTAATCAATTAATAATTACAGTTGTTTACTCAGAACTCCGCCTGGAGTTCCTCCGGGGGCTACTGCCGGTCCCAATCCCGGATTAAGGAGGAGGGTTGGGCATGGGGTTAGCGTCCCCATCGCGTAGAAAACTAACTCGCTAAAAAAACGCTAACCAGAAAAAATTATTCAAACCTTTTTAACTCTGCCCTGGGAGTCAGAAGGTCTTCATTTAGAAGAACTATGACGCCTCATGATGAAAGCCGAATTCGTTCGAAAGTTACGAGGCCGATGCCCCTTCTAACAACCAGCTTGACCATTTATTTAGGTACATGGAACGCTCGTACAATGTGGGACACCGGGAGAGCCTTCTAAATTGCTGCAGAAATGAGAATATACAACCTGGAAGTACTTGGGATCAGTGAAACACATTGGACACAAGTTGGACAACAACGACTAACTACAGAAGAGCTCCTGTTATACTCCGGCCATGAAGAACAAAATGCCCCACATACACAAGGAGTTGCATTGATGCCGTCCAAACAAGCGAAAAATGCGCTTATAGGATGGGAATCTCATGGATCAAGGATCATCAAAGCCTCCTTCAAAACAAAGAAAGAGGGTATTTCAATGAACATCATCCAACGCTATGCGCCTACCAACGACTACAATGAAGACGCTAAAGATCAATTCTACAATAGGCTACAGTCAATCGTCGAGAAGTGCTCAAAAAAGGACCTGACCATTCTGATGGGAGACTTCAATACCAAGGTTGAAACGGACAACACTGGATGTGAAGATATCATGGGACGACACGGACTGAGAGAAAGAAACGAAAATGGTGAGAGATTTGCAAATCTATGTGCCTTCAATAAGCTGTTCATAGGCGGCACCATATTCCCACATGAACGCTTACACAAAACCACATGGACTTCACCGGATCACTCTACACAAAACCAAATTGACCATATTTGCATCAACAATAAGTTCAGGAGGACAATGGAGGATGTGAGAATCAAGAGAGGAGCTGATATAGCATCAGATCATCACTTGCTGGTCGCCAAGATGAAATTGAAACTCAAGAAGCACCGGACAATGGGGCGGACAATATCACAAAAGTTCAATACGGCCTTTCTTCAGGATACTAACAAACTCAACAAATTCAAGATAGTCCTCAGTAATAGGTTCCAGGCCTTTCACGATCTACTCAATGGAGAGGGAACTACTATGAAGAGCAACTGGAGGGGGATCAAAGAGGCAATCACTTCAGCATGTCATGAGGTTCTGGGCCACAAGAAGCACCACCACAAGGAATGGATCACTGTTGATACACTGGATAGGATTTAAGAAAGGAGGAACAAGAAAGCAGCAATCAATAACAGCCGAACAAGAGCAGAAAAAGCCAAGGCACAAGCTGAATACACAGAAGTAAACAAACAAGTGAAGAGGATCATCAGAACCGACAAACGTAAATATGTGGAAAATTTAGCAACGACGGTGGAGAAGGCTTCAAGAGAAGGAGACATGAGACAACTGTATGACACGACTAAGAAACTCTCTGAAAATCACCAGTGAAAAGCAAGGACGGCAAGGTAATCACCAATATTGAAGAACAGCGAAACAGGTGGGTAGAACACTTCAAAGAACTCTTGAATCGACCAGCTCCACTGAACCCACCCAATATTGAAGCTGCATCCACGGACCTCCCAATCAATGTTGGTCCACCAACAATTGAAGAAATCAGCGTGGCCATCAGACAAATCAAGAGTGGCAAAGCAGCAGGACCGGACAACATCCCAGCAAAGGCACTGAAAGCAGACGTAGCGGCAAGTGCAAGTATACTCCACATTCTCTTCAATAAGATTTGGGATGAGGAACAAGTACCAAGAGACTGGAAAGAAGGACTCCTGATCAAAATACCGAAGAAAGGCGATCTCAGCAACTGTGATAACTACAGGGGCATCACTCTTCTCTCAGTACCGGGAAAAGTCTTCAACAGGGTATTGTTAAACAGGATGAAGGATTCCGTAGACGCCCAACTTCGAGACCAACAGTCAGGATTCCGTAAGGATCGATCGTGTACAGACCAAATCGCAACACTGAGGGTCATTGTGGAACAATCGATTGGATGGAATTCATCACTCTACATCAACTTCATTGACTACGAGAAAGCATTTGATAGCGTGGACATGACAACACTACGGAAGCTTCTTCGACACTACGGCGTGCCTCAGAAGATAGCCAATATCATACAGAACTCATATGATGGATTACACTGCAAAATTGTGCATGGAGGACAGTTGACAAACTCGTTCGAGGTAAAGACCGGTGTCAGGCAAGGTTGCTTACTCTCACCCTTTCTCTTTCTCCTGGTGATCGACTGGATCATGAAGACGTCAACGTCTGAATGGAAGCGCGGGATACAATGGGCATCTAAGATGCAGTTGGATAATCTAGACTTCGCAGACGATCTAGCCCTTCCATCCCAAACGCAACAACAAATGCAGGAGAAGACGAACAGTGTGGCAGCAGCCTCAGCAGCAGTAGGTCTCAATATACACAAAGGGAAAAGCAGGATTCTCCGATACAACACAGAATGCACCAATCCAATCACAATTGACGGAGAACATTTGGACGATGTAAAATCTTTACGTATTTGGGCAGTATCAATGATGAACAGGGTGGATCTGATGCAGGAATGAAGGCGCGGGTGGGCAAAGCAAGAGCAGCATATTTACAATTGAAGAACATCTGGAACTCAAAGCAACTGTCTCCCAACCAACACCAAGGTCAGGATTTTCAATACAAATGTCAAAACAGTTCTACTGTATGGGGCGGAAACCTGGAGAACTACGAAAGCCATCATCCAGAAGATACAAGTGTTTATTAACAGTTATCTGGGCAAAATACTTCGGGTCTGTTGGCCAGACACTATCAGCAACAACTTACTGTGAGAGAGAACAAAGCAGATCCCAGCGGAGGAAGAAATTAGGAAGAAGCGCTGGAAGTGGATAGGACACACATTGAGGAAATCACCCAACTGCGTCACAAGACAAGCCCTCACATGGAATCTTGAAGGCCAAAGGAGAAGAGGAAGACCAAAGAACACATTACGCCGGGAAATGGAGATAGAAATGAGAAAAATGAACAAGAATTGGATGGAACTAGAAAAGAAGGCCCAGGACAGAGTTGGTTGGAGAATGCTGGTCACCGGCCTATTGCTCCATTGGGAGTAACAGGCGCAAGTAAGTAAGTAAGTTTACTCAGGAAATCCTTTATACCTATGAATGTATTAAGTATTCCGAATTTACAAAAATGTTTATACATCGTTGTGATCGTGTAAGGTGAAATGACAAAAAGTATGTGATATAGAGTATTTCTGTTACAAGAAGTGAAGTTTTCATCGTTAGTTATGTTTAAATCATACTATAAAGCAATAATTATATGAATGTCTTTCAACTCAGGTTCAATTTACGTCAAGCGTTGAATCAGTTTTATTGTGATAAGTTGATAGTTGTTATTCTGAATAATGGAAAACTGAATTCTAGTCCAAAACAGAGTCCAAATAGTTGACCAAAAAAGTTTATCCTATCGTACACATCAATCAATTGACATTTTCGTTATATTCACTAACGTTTATCTAATGTTCAACAAATAAGCCTTATGGGAACTAAGCTACCAAATTTGAAGGTTTTCAAATATTTTGAATGGGATAAATTAAAAATTCATTACAAATTGATATCAGCCAAGAAGAATGACGTGAATACAAAATGTACAAGATAGGCATTTCGTCGTGAGAACTACAGCAACTATCCTTGTCGAACACAAATTATGAGTTAAAAATGTAGCGGCAATTATCTACTTAAAAATTTATGAATCAGTTGTCTAGGTCTTTGCAACATGACCGTAGTAAAGTTATTACTATGTGTTCCTTGACTTAGGAAAACAAAACTAGTTATTAGCAGTGTGAATATTAGATTTTATTCACACAAACGGACCTTCTCTATGTTGTTGTTAGTTACTCATCAAAACTAATTCTAATTTATTGGTGTGTTGTTTCAACATGCTGAAACGTGTCTATTTGTTATTCTCATTTGTTATCTAGAAAATATAACGAACATTATCAAGTACAATTTTAACAAATAGTAAATATAATCTCTAAAAATTAATTCATGTTCTGTACATCATTCTATTGTCAATGTTAATAGTAATGGTTCATGTCAATTTTAGATTTTGTCCAATGAAACGAAAGTGACAGCAGTTTGTAAATTATTTCAAATGTTTTCTTGTAGTTACATAAATCATTATCATCCATAGTGTTTCATAACACTGGTCACTATTAAATTTATCATTAAAGATTATGATGTATATTGGTCGGAACAGCATAGACTATTTCTTCTAGTACAAGAAACAAAATTTTATGTTGACTGAACACTAAAGGATCGTTCAAAGTTCAACTATCCAGTTAAAAAAACACAATACCTACAAAATAAAGAAATATATTTGTTAATATAATCTTCAATAGTTGAGGTCATGAGCCGCTTGAAGCTGGACCATTATGGAAAACCTGGAAGCACTGGACGACTGTTTCGTCCTATTGGAATTACTACAATCTCCACAAAACCCCCTTCTGATACTAATATAAACTTCATAAAAACTCTGAAAACAGGCCAATTCAAAGATCGAAAATATTTACGTTCTAAAAGCTATAGGTAATTTGAATTATCGTTTACTAAGAAAGGTTTCGTTAATTTACAACATGATTAGTTGGAGTGAATTACGCTGATATTTTAAAGTATGTGTAATTGAAATAAGTTAATTCTATGTACTTAAAAGAATATTGTTGAATTAAAATAAATTCTGTCTTGTAAATATCGCCAATTATCATTGGAATTGTTGTCCTTTATACGTCTATTTTTTGTCTATCTGACAGATGACTTTAGTCAATAAATGACTATTACTTTCTTTATTGAAAAATATTCGTACATTCACAATTATTTATCATCGATATCAGAAATAATTCCGAGCTAACGACAATGCGCACGCATTATTACAAACTGCTATGATATGACCAAGAAATACTTGAAAAGAAATCTTTCTTCAGTTCGTTATTTGTTTCTATAATTCTAAGCGGTTAACAGTTTACTGTCACTATAGATGTGCTTAGATCTTATTCACTAACGAATGTTAGTGCGTTTTAGTTATGGCTAGGAGCAGAGTTCAGGAGAGGTGTTTCAACCAATTTAAATCTCGTTAGCTGAATAAACAAATTATTGAAGTTGGATTAGTGAGATCTGAGTTTCAATGTAAACATGAACACTGGAAGACTGTTGGATCAAGAGATCAAAGTATTCATCTCAGGATGCGTACATAGTAATACAGATCGGTCACTATCAATCTTTAATAACAACATAAAAACTAAAGCCTATGTGTTGTATGCACCAATCATAAGAAATTCAAAGGTGTAGACTTTATCGACCTTTGCAAAGAGCTGATCGGCTGATTATAGGATATTTTTTAGAGAGACGATTAACGCAACAAACACAACTTAAAGAAATTTGCTTTTAATTTAAACATAAACCACCATTTATCTAGTACTCATTGAATAGAGTGAAAATGCATATATGCAAAATTCCAATGTAGAATAACACGAAATGAATTTTTCAAAAGTACATTTATTAATATGAGGATTGTTAGGAAATTTATATATTCCACAACTATATGTTTAATCTTTTTTCCAGAAGTAACCAGAATATAGCTTTTAATCGTTTGCTACATTCCATTCCATGGATTACTGATGTTTTAACTCATAGAATGTAAGTGAAAAGTGATGTACTGCATATATTTCATATCCTTACAATTTTATTTCCGTAGAAAGTATGATATCGAGGTCATAGAAACTAAACAGATAATTTATACGAACTATATGAGCGAACAAGAACAACCTGAACCGAAAGCATGATATCCAACTAGCAACTACTTGGCAAATATGCCTTAACAGGTATTTGGTCTCTTTCTCTATCCAACCTGTTTATTTCACATGCATCATTATGTTGACGGAAATCGGTGTGAGCTATTTTTAGCAATAGTTTCATGTAATTGATGATTCTCATTTTCATTTGCACATCAATGATTCAGAAACAATTGTCAACCTACAACTTGCAACTTTATTTATTCCTTCATATTAACACCGAATATCAATCATTACTAACTCAATCATACACACACACACACACAAAATTTGTTTCAGTCGTGAAAATTTTACAGAATTCGCATTTAACTGACTCATGTTATGGTGTTTTCTAAAGTCGACATCCAAATATGATTGCATTAGCACGGTATAGACTTGATCTGATTTGATTGTTAACACGCTATATCATCATACTTTGGTGATTTTGATTATCACCCTGAAGAAGTCCAGACAAGTTGGTTGGACGAAACATTGGAATTATTTTAAATTTCATACTTTGAAATTATTTCAAATATAATTTTGCACAAATAATAAACAGATAATTCCCAATAAATGTGTGTGGTACCCAAAAGAATTAAATAACATGGAACCGTATACTTTTCTTTAGTATATGATTTGCTATTATTGTTTACAAATTATAGTTTAATTGTCCATTAAAACGTCTATGGTTGTAAATTGAAATCTAAGGATGTTTTTTATTACAAATTTGAAGTGCTATAAACTATTCAATAAACCCCCTTTTGATACTATTCAATAAACATTTAGAGTTGTCAATAAAACGTTTCGTTTGTTTATTCATTAATTTCTATTCACCAAATATGAGAATACTAGTATAATGATTCTTTTGAAGAGAGATGAAGTATTTAATGGTATAGATACTAGTAATTACAATTAAAGAAGTGATTAAGTATATTGGATAGAAATACTTATAAGATTAAAGTGAACAAAGCTTTATACTACTTGTTTACTATTCAAGTGATTATTGAGTTTTCTCATTTGAAGGTATCATAATCAGATTTTGCGAAGAATGTTTAAATAAGTAGTTTATAAAATATGATTAGCCTTTTAAACAAAGATGGATAGTGGCTAATAGTGGAATCCAGTACACGCGTTTCATTCTATTTGTGACTCGTCAGCTGGATATGCCTGCATTTCAGAGAGTTGATGTTCACTCCAGGAGTCGAACTCAGTACCGCCCGTTTTAAACACCATCGCGTTTTCCAATAGCTACTGAATCCAGATAGCCACCTGCCTGTGCAATGGAGTGAAGTTTGAATTCACTTGGTGTTGTTTTACTTGTATCTTTCCATTGTTATTTATCGAGGCAATCCGGACAAGATGCACAAATGCCAACATGAAACTGACCAACTACAGTCCTAAATAATAATGGGAAGATATAAGCGAAACGACATCAAGTGAATTTATACTTTGAGTTTAATTTAGTATCTATCTTAATTATAAATTACATGAGTGTAGAATATTTAACAGGTTTCAAATATTATCATTTACAAATAACGTAAACTAAGGTCTTTGACAGTTATTACTTGTGGTATCTTGTATAACACCGGGTGATTTTTCTAGTTTTTATAAAAAAATTTAAAGGTTTAATGTTTGTGAATGTTTTAGATGCTTATTCATCACCGAATTTTGTAAATAATAATCCTTTGTAATATCAAAAATCCATTCATTATGTAAATATTAATTAGATTGGGTAGGATGCATGCTGTTTGCGTGATGATTAGCAATGCTAACCACTTAACTTGTTGCATATTCATCGAATATTCTATTTATTACGCCATCTTAAGCTTATTTTCACGTGTGTTCACTCACTATCTCATTCGGGAATATTAAGTCATTAGGATTCAGTTGATTATCACCTTTAAAATCAATTTTCATGAGTAAGTTACTATCTTATTTTAAACTTGATTAAATTCTCATCACGTATTAACTTGAATATATTGATAATTATATTTTTGAATTTCGCTTCTTGTTTGATGTAGATGAAGTGAATGTTGTACAGAGTTATCTATGAGCACTTTTGGAGAACCCTAGATCAAACTAATGATCTCTTGATCATGTATATATGAGTGTTTTTATCTTCGTCCTGAAGCATATTGACTAGTTTTGCTTTTTTTTAAATACATCAAATAGATAGTTATCTATCATGTATGTATTGTCTTATCATTCTTATTTGTCATTTAGACTGTAACTTAACTCTCTTGTGATAGTTGTAATAAACGAAAACGTTTTGGTGTAACTACTTTTTATTTAATAAATGTTAAACCACTAAGAATACGACTGTATAGCTTCAGTAAGTGATGACACATAAATGAAAACTTTCTCCATCAAATTGTCGTTGCGTTTTCAATTAACATACTTAAATGAAGCATTTATTAATGTAATTAACACTCACGTACATTAAAATTAGAGTTAATAAAAATATTTTATTGAATACATGAATACAAACGTACATGGTTTTCTAATGATGCATTGTAGTAAAGAATTATTTTGTTTTTTGTACTACGTACCACTCGAACTAGATTTCCGTCGATAAGCTGATACTCGAAAAAAATTTATTTCGTGTGAACACATGCGTAAACGTTTACTACAGAAATCCAACATCCACACTACCAAATAACATATTTAGTGAAAAGTTTTTTTAAGAGTAAACCATAACGTATCATGTTTCCTAGTACTAATTTCGAATAGCCTCACTTCACAATACTTTTTATCCTCATATCCTTCATTATCTTGTTGGTCGTAAATTACTCATCTCTAATTCTATGTCTAGTTTTCAATAACTATTGGTTTGAATATACATTCTCAAAGAATGACTCTTTTCTATTTTGGTATTTATTCTACCCAGTAAATAAAAAGACAACAGTTTTGTATCGAACGGAGAAAAATATTTCTGCACTATTTCAATTAAAAAAGGGTTATTATTAGTATGATATCAAAAGTATTTGGTTCATTTGAACCTTTTTGTAATAATAAGTATTCACTTCTTTGTACTTTGTTGAGTTATCAATTTTCCCTTGTTGTGGAAACATTGAAGATGTTAATTTAATAACAACATCAGTATCTAGGATATAATTTATATCATTATCGACAATTTAAGTAGTTTCATGGCAAGAAACTAAAAATTTTGAAATATTCCAATCTATATATGTGCATAATTAACATTATTGTTAAAACCCACCTGGTGTTATTTCACTCGTATGTTCCCATTTTTATTTAGGACTGCAATTGATCAGCCTCATGTTGCCATATGTGCATCCTGTCTCGATATAGCATTAAGTCACAAGCTTTTTAAGCAAAGATGGGTAGTGGCTGGCAGTGGAATCCAGGACGCGCGTTTTGTTCTATTTGTGACTCGTCAGCTGGATGTACCTGTATCACAAAGTTGGTATCCCAGAGTTAACATCAGATCTGTGGTACAGGTATATATAGCTGACGAGTCCCAAATAGGACGAAACGCACGTACTGGATTCCACTACTAGCCACTATCCATCTTAATATTATTGTTGTCTCAATTTTTTTATTTTCTGAATGAAACACAAATGTTTAAGGCTAGTTGCTTAAGGTTTCATTAAATTAATTTTTAAAACCTACTGTTGAATAACGGATTTTAAGGTAACATTTTTAACGAATTAGTACACTATATAATATACATGTTACTGTTTTCGAATAAGTAATAACCACTAGATAGATTTACTTATATGAGACCATGAGGAAAACAAATTTGAAAAACCATTGTGTTCAATAGTTTTCAGATAAAGAAGAATTAAATATATAGTTTGGGTAATTTTCGAACAATATTAACTCAAATATTTTATTCAAAATAAGTCGATTAGGGTAAACTGGTTTATTCTACAATATCTAATTTCAAATGAATTATTGCGCATAGTTGATGTTATTATCAATCTGAGTTATCTATTATCTACGTTCGTAGACATAGTATTTAACAATAATGTACTTGATAAATGACACCTTTGAATATATAATGGTTGCCTCGTTATTTAAAATTGCTTAATCAGGTCACGATCACAATTTCACTGGTGATTAAATATTCTTCTGAACTGTATTATTCATTTAGATTTCTGAATTGAATGGTTCTAAAGCCGAAAAAATCTTTCACCGAACGAACAAAAGTTGAACTGTAATAACTCTAGAAATATTAGATAATTTTGTATGGGGAATTGCAAATTTTTTTATAAATCAGACATAGTAATGTCGTCAACTACTCTTTAGGTAGTATATAACTTAAAGATACGTATTTCATTTACTATAATTTTTATATGAACATGAAAACTAGCAAAACATGTAGTGTAATATATTCTTTTATAACGAGAACTGTTATTCTCTCATTCAACAGTCTTGTGTTCGATGAAAAAATAAAAAAAATTCCATCTAATGATTTTATGTATATAGTAAATCATAATATTTAAACGCAAACTAATACATTATATTCAATTTCTGTTTAAGTTGATACATTGAACGTAGTTCAATTTTTATTTCTTTTAATTAATGCATGTTTAAAACTTTTTCTAACCTTTTTATTTTATAAGATTTAAATGAAATTTACAAAGAATTGGTTTCAGTGAAACAAACCGACAACAACAACAACAAAAATCACATATGGATATTTATTATTATAAAAATGACCGATATTTGAATTAAAATCATAATCGAAATCCACATTTTGATAAAGTTAGAACAGTTGTGCAATAGTCATGAACGAATATCAATGTATGGTTAAGGAAAAAGTAAATGAATATTAAAATGTAGTACATTTTAGAAAATGTTATTTGAAGTAACCAGTTTGTTACTTCATATTGATTTGGGAAAAAAAATAGGATCAATGGTCGTAATTCTCTAATTGATCTTTTGATGTGAATAGTGAAGAAAAAACCTTAGTTGATTGAATAGTCTTGGAACAACCTATCTATTTGTAAAATGTTTCTATCGTCAGTGATTTAATTACATATTTTCTAAAGGAAATAATGTTGTGACTGTGCATAATACACAATCATTGATTGATATTTAATTGTGTGTTCAAGTTTAAATACAATAAGCATTTATTATCCCTTAAATCCTATTGCTTCTTTACGGTCTAGATTATTTCTATCTGAAAGATAAATTATTATTATTTTTAGAATAAAGGGAATGCAGGATAGCTAAGTGCATTACAGTAATTTTGCACCATTATATAGAAGAATACATCATATTAATTTCTACCCAAACAATCGAGTAATCATCAGCGATTTCAACCCATCTATTTATTTGCCGATTCTAGATAGATAGATATTATGTTTGACTAAGGAAGCAATATATGTACCGATAGTTATTAATTTGTTTACTTAATTAAAACACTTTGACAAGACTATTCTTATTTTTATGTAGATTCAGTTTTAAAACGGCTTCAGACGTAAACTTGAGGCTCATCACTAGAGCATAAGTATATAGATGTCGCACCAACATTTTTAATACAGTTCATTTGCTCATTTATGTTCAAATCTTAGTCCTAATCATAGTGTGATGTAAATGAATCGAAATGTGAACAAAATTTGGTGTTGTTCTTGAAATTATCCCTTTTTGATGCATTTAATTAGTTTAATTCAAAAGGTATATCTTACACACTTTGTTTGACAGCAAGGTTTACGGAAGTCAGAATATATCTAAAATATCAGGTCATAAATAGTATGTTCTGGTTACCTCTGTGATATAAGTAAAGTGCGTATGAATTACTATTGAGCGATGGATGTTGTATGTGTACTGAGGTTGAGTAAGGGTTATTAGTAAAAGTTGAGATTTTATAAACCAAGAATAGTAAAGAGCACAATATGAAATGAATTCATGTCATTTAGTATGTTATAAGTCTTCATTATTTGTATTAATAGATAAAATGTTTTACACAGATCGTTTTATGTCTAATATACATAAGATCACTTAGTTCACTGGTAAGAAACAATCTATATTCATGCAAGTTCTGTTCACAGACAAATGGATTAGGCAAGGGAGAGTACTAGAAATTTCTAAGAACTGTCATGATTGCGTAGAAAAAATGATCAAAGTGATAGTAATTACTGAAAAACAATGGTAATGTGATCATTATCATATTGATGATCATAGAAGCTGTTGAATGAATGCTGACTTCACGTCAAAATAAACCATGAAATTTCTTGTTAAAATGACAGCATCAATTCTGTTGGCGAATTAAAATATTTATCAGTTTATTCACCCAATCTTCTAATTATTAGATTTAGAATTCCAAATTATTTACATGAGCATTTGAATGTTTTATATTATACATGAATAATGCGAGAAATGAAATGTCATCTACAAACAAACATTTATAATACTGCAATTTATTATGAAGTAAATACAACTGTTAGGTCTAAGAATGACACTTCAGCTGTCAGTTAAATTATAAGGATTGCATGTTGATCAAATGTAGTATCGAAGCAGAAGATCAAATTTCAGTTTATTGTAAACGAAAAGCACTAAGATCTCTTTGGAACTATTTTAAAAAACAAACGAAGGTAGATAAATAAAACCAACCTCTATTACCAGCAACTGCACGTAACAATTTACATATACATACAGAAAAAATACACATAGGAACAACAGAAAGTGGCACATTTATACTTTTTATCCAGTGAATTTATATGGTCCTGTGTAGCCAAGTATGGAAAGTTCTTCATAGTTCGAAACACACAACCTGCTTGATTGGGGAAAAATGCAGATGTAACGAATGAATTCAGTTTGGCCAACAAACTGTGAGTAATGGAAATTAGACCTTGTACCCGAAGTCAAACTGAACATTTTTAAATTCTTATTTTTTCAATCTTCAGTTAATTCTCATTAAAATCAAGGGAAATCAACTGAAATGTGTTTCTTTTTTAAACTTCCTAGAGTCTTGTCGCATAAGGTAATAAAGTATTTAAGAACTTGTACTCCGAGAAATTTATAAAGACTGTTAAAACCTTAACTCCTAACATTTACATTTTAAACTAATCTTTTACTGACGGACTTTTTGATTCTTCAAATTGAAAATCAGTTCAATGTTTCGAATAGCTGAACTTATTGGGTATTATGTAGCTGTAGAGGAAATAATGGAATGTAATAAATTCATTGTATTTCATAAATATTATCATTTTCGGGTCTAAATGAAGCATAAAAGTTTATGTGTGTTCTGATTCGTCAATGTTATCTCCTATCTTATGGTGTGCTGTGGTGTGTTTGGCTGTTATTAGTGTTCTGGACTCAACTGAACGGGCTAAACGAACAAAGTACCAATAAGGGCGCTAGGCTGTTCATACTGGTCGAACGTCATTGGTTTAGCACAGTACAAAGATTGAATAAGTCGTACTTCGATTGACGAGTAAATCACGTG